CCCCATAAGATTCAACAAGGGTGATTTTTGTGTCACACCACCCCTCACTTCCAAACGTGTTGCTGACCTACTCTTAATATTGGTGGGGGTTGATATGCACAAGAAATTTGGAAAAGTTAGGAGAATGAGAACCATGCCACAATCCTAACCCCGTGGGAGTCAAATCAGAGAATCACAGTCCCGTTTCAAAGGGCCGGTTGATGTTGGGTTTTACTTCCCACCAACTCTTCAACTCATTTTCTTCCTTCCACTTCCAGGAGAAAAAGATGTCATTATTTTAGGGGATTTTGGCCAAGGGCCAGACAGCAATGACTATGATATCCTGAGGAAAGAAAAATTCCACCACCTGATCCCCGCGCACACCTTCACCAACATCAGCACCAAGAACCCTCAAGGCTCGAAGTCTCTGGACAACATCTGGATCAGCAAAAGCTTAAAGAAGGTTTTCACAGGTGAGGCAGAACTCCCTTGTCCTTTTCCCTGTTCAGGACTGGAGTGAGAGAAGCATGTCTGAACCGACACGACATGTCATCTCACCTTCTTTGGGGCACGTGTAGGGTTGTTGTTTAGATGACTGTATCACTGTCATTCAATCCAAGACGCTTGGGGTGCGGCAAATAATTTTAGAATACCCGCTGACCTACAGCAAGCAGATGTGTTCCAGGAAACCTGGTAAAACACTAGCAGAGTCCTCATTCAGAGATGAGCTGATAACATTAATTTTAGGACACTTAGTCGTCTAGCAAACACTTGTCAAACACTCCAGCACTGTGTTGTAGGATGCAGCGTAGACATGCTGGGAGGTGGACATGCCGTGAGGTGAGCAGATGTCTCAGGTAGTGTCGCAGTGGGACAGGAGAGGTGCTCAGTGCTCCACAAGGAGCAGGGTGTGGGGGTGATTTCACCCTCCCTGCAAACTGGTAACCTGCTGAGTCAGGAGACAGTCAGCAATATGGAAGAGACAGTAGGGTCTTTTGATGAAAGACAAGAACAGTGTATCTAAACTCTGACTGGAGACTTTGCAAAGCCCCACTGATGCCTATTATACTTCAGTGAGAAATTTAAAAATAAGGGAAGTCGCAGGGCCTGGGTTTTATTGCGAGCGAGGCTAACATGCAGCCAAGGTCAAGATCTTCAAGACCAGGAGGTCTAGACTTGACTGTCACCAGCTTCTCCCCTGTCTCTCTGGGCACTGGCTTCCTGTTGTACTTTGTCACGGGAGGACCCATGATGAAGGAAGTGGGTCTCAGGGAGAGTGATAATTGTCAAACTAGCCTCGGTTTGCAGAAATGCGTTATGGGCCAGGACCAGAGACCAGCCCACAGTCTGTGTGGGCTCCCAGGTAGGTGTCTATGGAAGGAAGAGAGCTGGGAAAGCTGAGCCCACAGGGCTGGAGGGAAGTTGGAAATCCTTTCAGTGGTTCCCTTCCTGTTCAGTTACTGGGCTCAGGGAGGGGTTTCCCCATCACAGAACAGTCGGCAGCGTGTGCCGAAGCTCCACCCCAAATCCAGGCCCCTGTCAATCCTGCACTAACCTTGCCTCGCTTGAGAGGACCGCACAATGCTTTCTAGCCATTCTAGAATGGTTTTTGTAATTATTCATTATTTAATTATATTCAAATATACCTCTTTTTTCATAGATTTCTAAATCCTCATTTTAAAAATACTGTTACTTTCTCAGAAGCTTCTGTAATTTTCTCTTTTTTACCCTTTCTGTAGAAAGAATTTCTACCCCTACCTCCCTTAGTGTCTTTTGCTTTGCAAAATTGGACCTCTGCTTTGGACATCTTTATGAGGCATCTGTCTCTGTCTTGCAATCAGATTCACAGCAGCGCGTGTATGAGGACATGTCAGCCCATGTGCCCCTGTGAGTCTGGATGGACAGGAGGCCTGGCCTCTGAGGACATGTCAGCCCGTGTG